CACTGGCTGAGAGCAATAAAACAGAGTGATTGGTAGACTTTATTTAATGGAGGTGCCATGCTCCTGATCCCCGGGGTGCAGTGGCGCTGAGCCCCGGCTCCTCACCTGGTAGGGCGGCGGAGGCTCCCCGGGCAGACTGCCCCCCTCAGACTCGTTCAGCAGCGACAGGTCATCCGCACCTTGTGAAAACAGGCAGTTACCCATTAAAGTGAACTGACCACCATGAGAGACTTCACTCTGAGGGACGGACACTGAGCAGGAGAGAACTAGGTAATGGCTGGACGAGTTGTCGGTAGCTTAGCTCGCTGTTAGCTGATAGTTTGTAGTCATTGCATGAGGAGCTTGATGGAAACACAACGGGGGACGCGACGTGGCTCTCTAGACGGAAGAAACGCCTTTTTTTAGTTACACAGAGGATGGATGAACGATTAGTGACATATATTTTAACCGTCACACCGAGGTGTTTAAAGTGAGTCTTGCCTTCTTATGTTTACCATGGATGTAAACACAAACCGGAAATACCGTCATCAGGAACTTTGCACAGCACTACATTTCCGCCTCAGACTTTCAAAATAAGTGCTTTAAACTTTTTGCATTTTTAAGCATTATCATTTGGCAGTGGTGGAAAAAGTATCCAGAATCTTTACTTGAGTAAAAGTAGTAATAACATACTCTAAAATTACTCAATTTCACGGAAAAGTACTGCATCGAGAAGAGGTACTAAGTATGTTAAAGTATTTGAGTACAATTGGGAAAATGTACTTAAAGTATTTAGAGTAAAAGTACATTTACTCTAAATGAACAATTTCTAAACAAAAAGCAGCACATTTTCACATTTAAGAAGCTGGCATTCTGAACTTAATTCCAATTTATTTTCTGTGAACCCACTCCTGTTTTTAGTTACTTAAAGTGGACCTATCATGCTATATTTGAATAATATAGTGTAGGACCATACCTATATAAGGCATATTTATACTTTTTTTTTTTCAAAATACCAAACAGATCATGCATTTTAGCCATGCCTCATTTTGCTCAATTTGACATTTTTTAGCTCTGTTTTTGCAAGGGCAGATTCTGTGATAACAGCACGATCTACAGGCCTGGCATATGTACTACAGCGTCTCCAGCGCTTTCGAACGGCAATGGCCGTGGCTGTCTCCTCCTGATTGGTGGAGTTGGCCCAATAGCCGTAGCGCCACTGTCCTGACGTCAGGACAGTGTTCAAATCTGGATCAGTTTTTATCAGATCCGTTGCAGCCCCTTTTTTAGAGATTTGGGTATGGAGAAAAATAGAGAGGGTTGTGTTTTCTGACACTTGGTGAGTTCCCTGGAACACCGGGGACACATATTCATGTATAAAAGACGTACAAAAGTGCATTTTGCTTGATAGGTCCCCTTTAAATATAATATTGGATGGTTTTAATCTATACCAAATCATCATATTTAGAACGTTTTTCTTCGAAGTGTGTGTGTGTGTGTGTGTGTGTGTGTGTGTGTGTGGTGTGTGTGTGTGTGTGTGTGTGTGTGTGTGTGTGTGTGTGTGTGTGTGTGTGTGTGTGTGTGTGTGTGTGTGTGTGTGTGTGTGTGTGTGTGTGTGTGTGTGTGTGTGTGTGTGTGTGTGTGTGTGTGTGTGTGTGTGTGTGTGTGTGTGTGTGTGTGTGTGTGTGTGTGTGTGTGTGTGTGTGAGAGAATCTGAAATTATAAAGTTATTTGTAAATAAATACATCTGTAAAATAAATGTAGTTGGGTAAAAATTACAACATTTGCTTCCAAAATGTAAAAGAATAGAAAAAGCAGAATAAAATGAAAAGTTTTTTTTTAGAGAGTTTGTACAAAATACTATACGACAATATGAAAGTTATTATAGGAAACCAAATAAAGGCCAACTCATAACATTCAGGGGTTAGCTAATTGAGCAATGATAATTTGTGTATGTTTATACTTTGTTTTGATATGGTCATGCCAATAAAGCTTCTTTGAATTGAAATATATTTAATTAAGCAGGGCATCGCTGATTTACTTCTTATTGTAATGACATGTCTTTGTTTAACTGAGCTTTGTGACTTTACAACATTTTGTTTTACTGTAAACAAAATAGGCACTTTTCAGGCACTGAATTATTATTACATTACATTGGATATCATTTAGCTGATGCTTTTATCCAAAGCGACTTACAATAAGTGCAAATACCATACAAATCAAACTCCGAATTATCTGTATCAAATTGTGTGTTAATATTCCCCCAAAACTGTTCGCAACCCAGTTAATATTGACCTGTATAATACAGTTTTTGCCAATATTTTAGGGTATTTTTTCCATCGACAAATAGACATGGGCAGTCTGATTATTATTTGTTTTACTCTGAAGTTGTACCGGATGTTAGCTTTCTCGGACGGGATGTGAAGTAGAGTGGATCAAGTGGAGCTCATTTGAAGCACATGAATGACTGTGAAGCGCTGTGAAGGCACACCACTGTTAATTTGTTTTCTTAAAGTTTTAACATTTGTTAGTGGAGATCAACTTTTGTTCTGACCTCTGTGTGTTTCGCCTTGCTCCACTTCCGTCCAGTGCTGATTTTGAGACTTAAAGGACTGATAAATGGTAAGAGAAACAGGCAACGCATGACATAGTAATAATACACTGTCCTGATAGTAACACATATTTTGTTCTTATAAATACCCTTGTATAACGAAATATTTAACATACTTGGGATAGCTTACTTCCTCATTTCTGCGTTGCTGCATGTGTGGTGTTTTTTTTACGATAATATGCCTATAGGACTAGGAGTCGCCATATTTACTTTATTACGTATACATGTTGTTCATAGCCACATCCACCACCAGTATTCCTTTAATCTGAGTGTTTAAAAAATCTAATTCTATGACATTTCCCGTTCATGTTGAACTCCCCACATTATGATCTGATGCCAGCTAACGTAATGTAAATGTGAATTCCACCCACATGGAAAGTGTTTTTGTCAATAGAGCACAGCAGTCTTGTTATGGGTATCGTCTTGGCTCACACACATGCAATGAGAAAGAGGTTAAAGCAAGCATTATAACACCTCTGTTGTGCAATATCACAATACGCTTTATGATTATTATACTGGCTGCTATCTATTAGTTAGACCATTCAATTATTTTAACAAAACGGTATACATTTTACTTTCACTACAGTTATCTGGATGCTATCACACTACTTTCCACATGCTATTTGTTTGTTTTTAAATACTGGCACTGGTACTTATTGTTGTCCATCTGAATGTGTACTTCTGTGTAATCTTTAATATTTAATATATAATATACTTTAGCTATTTTTGCTGTAACAATGTAAATGTCACCTTTGTGCAACTAATACAGTTATTCTCATTCTGATTTAGGACACAGCTCCACCACCACCACCACCACTCCCTCCTCCAGCCTCTGTGAACCAGGGTCTTTGTTGCCGTCCTCCACCGTGCCCTCAGTATGCTGCAATGCCATTTGTCTCCGTTCCAGTCCAAGAGACAAGTCCTTCACCAGAATCTTTACATGATGCAGAGGTAAGTGTGTCCTCAAAAATCTGGAGTTATGATGGTGCGAGACCCTTAAATAGTTTTACTGTGTTAAATCTTTCAACTTCCAGGGTCCAACAGCTCCACCAGCTCCACCACTGCTGATAGATCAAAATGGACCCCAGTCACCTCCAAAGGAAGGACAAGAGGACAATCCCTCTGATAATGAAGAGTCCCACCCAGTGCAGGAAACTGAGCCTACATCATAGGTAGGTAGGTCGTTTTTAGTTACATACTAATTTCCCTTTTCCAAAACACTAAAAAACACTTACTTTCTTTTCTTTTAGTCCTAAACATAGAGGAGAACGCTGATCAGCCATTCAGAAGGTCCAGGCTGGAGACCAACTGTCCTACAGCTCTAAAAACAAAAACCTGCATTTACGGGTTCCTAAAAATGCACCGAAACACTGATAAATGGTACTGTTGAGTGAGCACTTTGCTTCATGTTGGGACAAAAGATGTTCAAATATGTTAATTCAGCCTTCATTTATTTTCATCTAAGTTATTTGCAGCTAAATTGATCATGTAGCGCTTTGTTTTTTCATGCACATCTTTGCCAAATACTTAATAGTGCTACGTAAAACTCTTATTCTTAAAAAAATACATAATGATAATTTGTACAGACTGTTACAAACTAGTATGTTTAATTATATGGACATGGGCATTTATGAATGAGGATATTTGTTTTGGTAGAATGTAGGGAATTGTAGAATGAAGTATTTGTGTAGCTTGACCTTGAGCTTTAAGTCAATACATGTTGATCTCTGCAGATTCATTTTTAGCACTTTTTTGTCTATCTCCTCTGAGCTTGTTTTATGGAAGCATGTGCAACAGGCTACTAAATAGTGAGAATACTTAATTCACAGTCATTAAGCTTAGAGTACTTGGATCAAATGTACAGGTACAATTGTTGTGCTTTTACATTTTTTTAATGTTTATTTAAATGAAAATGTCTAACAAATTGTATTGTCACTTTCCCGATTGTTTTAATAAACTTAACTGAAGCCTGCTTTAAACATTCAGTTTCTTTGCTTGTCTGCTCCAAAGAAAACTTAAAAATACATTAATGTTAATGTTTTAAAATACTTATGCCTACATAGTTATAGATATAGCTACGATGAAGGTAAAGGTCAACAGCCATGCTAGCTGCTCTGTGAGGCTGTAGCCTAGCCAAATGCTAAAGTTAGCATGCCAACATGTTTACAATGGTAATTTGGTAGTGTAGCAGGTAATGTTAAACATTATGTAATAGCTCATATTTATACTGCACTAGGTACATGAAGACAAGTTTACTGACATTTATTATTAGATTGTTGTATGTAAACTATATTGTGATTATTGTGACATACATAATAATATTAATATGATATGCATATATGCATCTGCAGAGCTGATTCCTTAGTTCGTCAATAGTCTACAGAAAGAAGGACAAGGCACAACAAGATGATACAGTCAAGAACATCCTTTTTATTCAATCAGGTGCTGCTCTTCTCAAACTGTGTTTTTCTTCTTATGGAAAAGAAACTGTAATTAACACATGCATTTCACCTAGAGCTCTGGGGGTGTTCTCACAAAGAAGTGGTGCTGCGCTGAGGGCTTAGACAGAGGCGTAGAAGGGCTGGGAGTCAGGGGGGCTAAGGGTGCTGCTTTATACACCGATAACCATACACGCTTAAAAAGATAAAGAACAAAAAATAAACAACAGAACAAAGACACGGAGCAGTCCAGCATGAGGTGGTCAGAGGAGAAAAATGGAGGGACTTCCCTGAATCCTCAAAATAAATCTGAGAGATCAGGTTCATGCTGGCCTTTTATCTTTCTGGTTGGTGTGTTGTAAATGGTTAATACTGCTGAGGGTTTCTCTGTGTGAGACCCACCGTGAACAATAATACTTCACTTTAAAAGATTGGTTTAAGTGGATATGTCCTGGAAATGCAAACCCCCCTCTTTCAGCCCCGTGCAGGACAAGTCCGCTCATAAGGTGCTTGTAGCTTTCATTTACAGTCCAAAGGCATTCTCTAAGAGAGCCTAAACAACAGCATACCCTGATAGCATAGATTCAAAGAAATCCTAATTAAAATTAAACAAAAAAAAGGGAGGGGGGGGGGGATAAAACAAAGGTGAAAATAAATAGCTAAAACAAAAGAGCAAACTCTTTTCCTAGTCAAAGCAGCCCCTTTCCAACATCCCAAAGCAGTTCATCCAGCCCTCCATACCCCGTTAATCTCCGTAAATTACCCTCAACCCAAACCCCTGAACCCGTCGTCCTTTCCTAACCCACCCAAGGACACCCCCAAAAGCCCGTCAGCGTAATTTGTTCACTTACATTAGCTGTTGAATGGAGAAGCTGAAGAAGATGGGTATGGTAATACAATGTGAAGCATACAGACAAGAATAACATGTGAGCTAACTGCATTCTGCTCAGACAAAAGTTTTTCGGCAATATTTTTTTTTCACCCTCCCATCAGCGGAGAGGATAGGAGAGAGAGAGACGGAGAGTGACGGACACACAGTTACAGACTACTCCAGTGTCTAAGAGAAAACAGACAGTGGAGACAGAGGGGAAGAAAAAAGCAAGAGCTGAACGAGAACATGTTTTTTTGCCTTTTCAAAAAATGTTTTTTTTTGTCATCATTTATCAATAAAAAGTAAAGAACTAATTCACACCAGTTTCCTTTTGTACTATATATATATATGTATATATATACGGCTTTGAAAAGGAAGAGAGGATATAGGGGAAGTACAATGGAGGGGATTCATTTCGAAGGCAGGAGGAAAAAAGTAGTCCCTGAGCGCTTAGCAACCTTTTGCCTCCTCGCTGCACTCAGGGGCAACCTGCTACCTCGAGCCACTTCGAAAAAAAAGAGGGGCGATCTGGATTACAAAATGGAGTCTGTGAACAAAAGGCACTTTTAAGGGACAACCTTTAACTGCTGGGAAACTATACACTACAGCACAAGCACTATAAGAGTCATTTACAGAGGAGGGGGTGGAACAGGGGAGAGGCTCACCTTGCTGCCTGCTTCAAAAATCATTTAGACTTCAGGTTCTTTCCTGATTTTACAATAATGTTGATGCCCTTTTTCCGTTATCTGCGCACAATACAAAAGGTCTATCTTAATACTATTTCCATTGCAAGTGGGTGTTAACACAACCTGCTGATTTGTATTCAGCTCTAGCTTCAGGAACATATCAATCTGATCATAGGGATACAATATCTCTGGATGTGAAGCATCTCCCGCATTGCAGGGGTTACAGGGTTTCTGCTGGTGAGTTTCAGGCAGGGCACAGGTAAATCATTTGAAGTGTCTGAACAAAATAGGTTTGTTTTTGTTTTTCTAAAGGTTGAACCAAAATGCCTTTTGTGTCACAACCTTAAGGAAAAGGAACCTCTCCCCCCACTCAATACAAATAGAAGAAGAATAAAAATAGAGAGGAATAATGCTGTTTCCTAAATGGTCTGGTATTTTTGTTCATTACCATTCATTTACAATAATTCTGAATGTACTTTATACTGTTAAAGCACCAGTTTTTCATCTGATAGAGAATAGTTTTTTCTCAAGTTATGTAGATTTTTTTCCTTCAGCCCTCCCACATTTGTATAAACAACTGATTACACATAAAACATTAAAAAAGAGACAAAGGAAATAAAAACAAATACCCCCAACTTACAAAGACTAGGATTTTTCATGGCCCTCTAGTTTAGAGTCCCGGAGCATATGGACTTGAAACAAATACATTTTTTTTCACTTTTCTCTTAGCTTTCTTAAAAATCTCTAACAGACAAACACAATGATCTACCCAATGCATTGCACGTGGCTCAATCGACACATATTTTTCAATAATAATACTTTCCATCAAAAAACACTTTTTTTTTCTTCTTCAAACCTACTGTCGATTTTTGACATGTTTATCTAGGTATTATAATGCTGCTCTGCAGATGGCGATGGCGTGTGTCATTCGATTCGTACTGGTAACAGTAAGGTGATGTTACTGAAACGGGTTGTGGAGGGGGGGGGGGGGGGGGGGGGGGGGGGGGGGGGGTGAGAGTCAGAAAATAACTAGACTGCCAATCAGCTCATGTAGTAAAAGGTAAAAAGGAGCATATATCATAAATATATATGTATAAGATCTCTCTCTGTGTCTTTACAAAAAAAGTTTGCAGTCTTCTATAAAGATCTGTCGTAGGCCAATGGTTCCACATGCACCAACGCTACCATTCCCTGTAGCTTTAGCTTATATGTGGGAAGAGAACCTGAAGTTATTACTAATTGCATGAAGGGAATACAGAGGCACTTTCATATATTGTTATAGTCTTATTATATGGTTTTAGTACATAGAGCTAATGTTACTAGAGGCTGAGATTAGGGTCTCAGCCCTGCTTACAATCCCTGCAAAAAAGAACCAACAGCTAGGCAGTCCAGTTATTTTGTGAGGTCGGCTTTTGTTGGATTGTGTCATGATGAAAATAATACCAATAGCAAATTTCAATGTGAACATATAAAAAATATCTCAAATTAAAAAGACAATTCTTAAGTCAATGAAAAACCATTAACAAAGGCAGTTTGGAGAACCAAATATAAAGGATTCCCTTTATTATATTATGTCAGGTTGTTGGTGGTTTTAGTGTGCATTTTACGTGTGTTTGTGTGTGTGTATGTGTGTGTGTAGTCCTCAGGATTTCTCTGTGAGTGGACTAAGGGATAAAGGGTAAAGCAATGCAAGGGATGCATGTGATGAGTTGTTGTTACTGTGCTGTCCAAAAGTGAGAGATTTGAGAAACTGCTGTTACCGTTTCGCTGAAATCTGAGCATGATACTAAACGTATTACTGCAAACTAAAGAAAAAGTGTTATGGCATGCAAGCAAAAGTTAAAACAATCCAAGTGGGACAAAAACCAAAACCAAATCTGGCAAAAAAAAGGAAAATCGCAAGAAAACACCTAAAAACAAAATAAAAGCTAATAATATGAGTTTGATGCTGCATGTGCATAACTGTAAATTAAATTCCTTGTCTCTGTATACTAACAAGATGATGTTATGGGTGGTTATGTGACAGACTGTTCTGGAGACGATGGTCTGTGGTATACTGTCTGCAAGCATGCGTGTGTGTGTTTATGTGTGTGCTGCATGTTTCAGGGCCTAGACTTAAGTATTAGCCACATCCCTGCGGAGGCCGCCAGCCTCGACTCACTTCCCTAATCGCTCGTCTGACCATCGATGTGCAATACTGTTCATCCCTTGTTAAAAATTAATAGTGCATAGGTGATGGGACGAAAGAGCACGTGTAGAGTTAGTGTTATGACTGTCTGTCGTGTGTTCACTCGCGCGCACTCGCCTCATGGCTATCACTTCTCCCACAGCAGGACGCCCTGATACTTTGACAGGTAAACAAAGACCAGCCACTTAGTGCATATATGTCACACCATTTGATGGTGTCACCATGATTGGCCAATCAGAAATGAAAAGAGGTTCAGGGCTGAGCGAATGGAGCGGCAGAGTGTGGCAACACACACACAGGCATGTGGCTGTGGATGACGGTCTGGACCCTGGGCAATGCTGGGGGGGGGGGGTCAGGTGGGATTTGCACCTGGGGGTTAAGTGCGTGGCGAAATACACAGATAGGGAGGTGTGCAAATTAAGTCAATTTTTGTCAACTTGCACATACGATTTTGACTTTTACCACTAACATTTTTGGATCTCCTGGCCAATGCATGGAGTTTCATTGTGGAGACAACAAAATAAAAAAAGGAAATCATAAAACAAAAGAAACAACAAATGTATAATTGGTCATTTGTCAGTTTGCCATATTGTGTTTCATTTCTGACATGTTGTGGTGTGTGAGAGACAGTTCCTCATCTTCCTCTTCTTGCATTCTGAGCCTGTCCATCTCATTGAAGCGTCCTGCGTAGAGGAGGGCGAACGTTCCTGTTCGAATTCTGTTGGATTGGGAGTCCTCTTGTGGGGGGGGGGGGTGTTCTGTAGTAGTACTTTGAATAGTGTTGGCTAGAGAGAAAGACCTTTTAGTGTCAGCAGTCTGTTCTTAAGCAGCGGTGATGTGTTTGTTTTTCAAATCTCCAATTTCATGACACAATTTTAGCTCCTGATTCTGAGAGGCCTTGTCAGAGGAACCAGGACTGTGGAAAAGGAAAACAAATTGTTAGTCTTTATTCAGCAGATTAACCTTTAAATTCAGTTTATAATTCTCAGTCTTGCAGCGCAAAAGAACAAAAAGTTAAAATACAGAACCTTACCTATAGACATGCAAGTTACTGTATATTCATACTTATAAAATAAGAAGAGAGGTGAGGGGGGGATTAGCAGAGTATGAAACGGTGTGAGGTATGAGCACAAAACGGCGTCTTACAGAGTGAACTTTGAACCATGTTGTAAACTCAAACCTGTAAAAAAAAGAAATTATGGAAATTGTTGCAATTGAAAAGACGCTGAAAAGACTAAACTACAAAAATGGGACAGCTGTAGAGGAAAATGTTCGATACATCTGTACATGTTGCCATCTTTTAATGCTCTTCACATTATCCTATCCTATTATAACCAGTTTTTATATTAATTTTAATTTGGTATACTCTAAAATTCAATAAAACTTAAAATTCTGAAAAAATAGCATGGTGTAAATAACTTGTTCCCACAAAGGGTCATAATATAAACCCTAGGGGTCCCCAGGTAAACAATAGGAAACAAAAACAAAACACATTTCTGCTACATAAAACAAATTTCTTCTCGCAAATTACTGGATAAGTTTACCTCTTCAGACCCCCAAAATTAAATAAAAACATGTACTATTTACTTGAATTACTCACGAGGAACAATGCAATGTGAAAGGGGTCGCGAGTCAAAGTTGCTTTGTTATCCTAAATCCGGTTTACAAGCCTTGAGAATCACTAGTATGAATACTCCTTCATCCACTAGGTGGCCCCATTCTCCTCCTTTTCTCCAGCACCAATGTACTTGCTGAGCTCAGCTGTCCCGTACAGTGTTGAAAAAGTTAGTACCTTCAACTTCACCGCATGCTGCTTTTAAGAGGGCTGACTCTGAGGGGTTTTACTTATGTGTTATTTCAGAGCTACAAATAGCATTAGGGCATTCGTTTTTGTATCAGCCTGAATGGCTTTCCAATGAGCAAACACAGGACTATATGCTCTATCATGCGCTACCAGTTTACATGTAAGGCGATCCTCTTAATAAGTCTCTGCTGTGCGGGCCCGAGTGGTCTCAGGCTACACTGTAGAGCTATTGAGGGCAGCTTCTCCGGATCCGGTTTCTCAGTTTGATAAGAGGGCAGAGTTGGCACAGGCCGCTCTGTTCTGGCTGCAGCTGACATTCCTCAGGCCTCGGCCGGGGAGAGCAGCAGATCACCCCACCTTTAACAGCAAACTCTCTGTTGTCTCCCTTTCTAGCAAAACCCAGAGAGAGTTCGAACCCCCCCCCCCCCCTTCAACCTCCGTCTATCCTCCACCACCTCTGCCTCCCATGATTCTTTGGTGTTTGTAGATAACTCCTCCTCCTGGCTCCGACTTCCCTTAACCCCCTTCTCTTTTCCTCTCCCTCTCTCACCCTGGCTCTCCCAGTGTAATCCTTGGCAGCGGAAAGTGACCCCCTTTCGCTAACCCCCCCCCTTCAAGTCCAAGTTCAACTGCCTATGACATCATGTCTGGTTGCCCGCAGCAACCAGACAGCCGGGACGTGACTGTGGAGTGCAGCGAGCTTCAACTAACTCCCTCTCGCTTTTTTCCCTCCGTTTCTCTCTGTCCCTCCTACTCTTTTCCTACATGTCCCCCTATCCCGCTCTCTCCTCCTGCAGGGCTAGGGTCTCGCCACCAGAGAGCTCCTCAGACCAGCTTTTCTCTGCTCCTTGGGAAGACTCTCTCTCTCTCTCTCTGTCTCAACTAGTTGGCCAGAGGACGGCGAGGCGTGTTGGCAGGGCCGTCGTCTGCACCTCTCCATATGCCAGAGAACAGCAGGATAGGCAGACACCTCTGTTACTCACTCTGGCTGGGTTATTACTGACCTACTAGGCTCAGCTTACTGGGAGCAGTTGATATCAGTGCCGAGGTTCTCGCTGGGCGTGCCGTATACCCAGCCGAAATGTTCAAAGTGGACATTTTTCAATGATGTTTGATATAGCAAAAGCAGGGGATAATAAGCGCTGGGAACAGATGTAAGCTGTTGTTAAAGCCCTGTTGTTTTTTAGGGGAGAAAACGAGGGGCATGAGTTTTGGCACCGAGTTGAAGTGCATGTGCGTGTGAGCATACGCGCTCACACTCATTTGGATGGTGTTTGGATGTCCCCTCGGTGCCAGGTCTACATCTGTGTGAGAGTGGTGCAGGTGGGGATCTCGAAAAAGAGAAGAGGGAGCAGCAGGAGGAGAGAGAGAGAGAAACGGAGGGAGGGTGGGCTGCTGATGCATGAGGGGAGGGGAGGGAGGGGTGAGGGCGAGCAGAGCTGTGCCGAAGAGGAATGCAGATTGTTTCCATGTGTGGGGAGGACAGGAGAGCCGAGCTGGCTGCAGGCAGGTGCGGTTAGCCCCTAATGAGAAAAGTTGTGTTGGTGATGGAGGAGGCCCAAGACACTGCAGCCCAGTGGCAGAGCGCAGCCAAAGCTGAAACCACAATGTAGTTCACTACTGGCCTCACACGCTGCACTAATACACACTGTGGGGCCGAGCAGAGATAAATCAACACGGCTGGAGCTGAAACTAACTGGCACTGCTTTCCTTCTCTGTGGGTGAAACTACTGCGGTACACACTGTAAACCCCAACTGAAACTAAAGGCCTTGATACATGGGCAACACTTTGTGTCAATGTAGGAGACAAGTTCGCAAACAGTATATTGTCAATGTGATATAATTGCCTCCCCTTGACCACAATAATATTCCCCTGCAAGTATTATATTATTAAAATGGAATTATGCAAAATGTGTGCAAGTAGAATACAAACTCAAACAAGCACAACAGTTTCATGGAAGCTGAATTTAACTTTTGTCAAACATATTAAGGTTTATACTTGATCTTGGAAATAGTTTGACAAAACAATCACAACTCAAGGTCCACTTGCTAGCTTTTTCTAAAGCTTTTACCATTTAAGTTAAGGTTTGAGTTTGCTCAGTTATAATTGACATGATTCTGTTTACGTTCAGCCCTTAAATAGCTCTGTATAACAGCTGCAGAGTCCACTGAACTATCTCCATTCAAAACTGAGCCAACTCATTCCACTGATTTGTGATGTGGTAAAAGCTTTGAAAAAAAGCTTGAGAGAGGACCTTGTTTTTGCATTTGTTTGCCAATATAAGAATATGATTTAGTCAAATAAGTAAGGCAACATTTATGATGAGTAGTGGTGACAAACTGTTGATCAACACTGGCTCCATGGGCTGAATCAGTGTGTGTAGCAGGTTGCAAATGCAGAGCCATTGTCTGAGTACTGCCTCTGTTTCACAGCCTTCACTCTGAATGACATGCCTGTCCCGTTCAAACCCGAAGATGCCTCCAGTAACGGAGCACTGTGATGTATCATCTACGTGGAGTGTCACGCTTGCAGCAAAAAGGATGAAAAGGACATAAAACAGGGGAGGAGGAGGGAGAGGAAGGAGGATGGGTGGATGTTAATTAAATGAGGGAGGTTGGCGGGGTACCTGAGTTTGCTGGGGAATATTCAGAAAGTTGTCCCGTGTTCCGATGCCGACAAACCGGTTGGGAGCTGTGGAGCCTGGCGTGGAGTATGCTATAAACAGGGAGAGAAGTGTGTACATGCTTTTTACACACACACATACACACTGAGCTCATAGTAGAGTTTGATACTCTCGTAATTTAATGTTTAAAAAAAGATATCAATACTATGACTACAATTCACTGTCAAAAGAATTACTGGGAAAAGACAGTAAGGGTCAGGAATACTGATGCCCTATTATTCAAATTGAAGATTTATTCATTTTGTGGGCAGGTTTGTTGTTATTTTCATTCACTCAAGAATGTAATCCGTGGTTAACAAGGGGATGTAGAGTCTGAAATGATTAGCACTAACATAAAGTAGCTATTTCCCCCAAATATGGCTGTGCTGTTTGTTACAGACACTCCTCAGCAGCCCCTGGCCTCAGGAATAAGCCTCGGTAATCATAGAAAACCACTGAGCGCTCACTATGGACATAATAATAGGGATGGAGGAACTGTATTCATCCCCGGTGGTAACCAATGCTCCATTTACGTTTGATAGCTTAATAGGAGCACCTTTTATTCAAAGTGACACCACTCAGTGATGCCACAGGATCAAATTTAGGGCAGTTGTGCTCACTGGACTCCAACGTGGGGGCCGAGTAGAACTTTGTCTTGATTCAGGTCGAGAGGATGGGGATGTGTGGGGGTGACAGTGACAGGGCTGGAATCTGATGCATGAGTGAGAGTGTACCATATGCATGTGTTTGTGTGTGTGTGTGTGCTTTTTTCAATTAACGATATCTTCATAATCAGACAAAATTAGAGGGGGTAAAAAAAATAAAAATACAGTGATAACAGTCACCGGAATGAGAAAAAGAGACGAATAGTAGGATATTTATTTATATAGATGTTCATATAAATAAATAATAAAGTGACATCTCAGAGAGTTGGAAGGAGGGGAGGAAAGGTTGATAGGACAGGAAGAGGAGAAAAAAAGTCAAAACAAAAGGAGGAGAAGGTGCCCCGGTTGCTCCGTCCAGTGCCCCCTCTTGGTGTGCCTCTCCCGTGGCCCGACTCTCGCACCGCACCTGTCTGGGTGGAACCAACCAAAGCCTCACCGCTCCCTGATGACACTCCTCTCCCGCTCCCCCACTACAGCACTAATTAGACAGGTTTGATTAGATCTTATCATTCATGTTTAGAGAGATTGGGTTGTTCTTGTTATACTGTGATTTCCATGTTTTTGTTGTTCTCAATTTTTAATTGTTGTGAGATTTGTGTGAAAGAGGCGAGGGGATTGGGTGGGTAAAGTGGGGCATGATGTTTTTTTTGGAGTCCACGCCAACTGCCCTAATTTTGTTCCTTTAAAAAGAAAAAAGAGAGAAATAAAGGAAACAAAGAAACAAAGAAACAAAGAAAGGAGGATATGAGAGTATATCAAATAAAGAAAAGAAGAAGGCAAAAAAGAAATGAGAGAAGGGGGTAGATTGTATTGCCGCTGTCACGGACAGACATGCAAAGTCTGCGTTGATCAAAGGCTTGCGTCTACAGAGGCAACGTGCACAGGGCCCTGCTCTGCCCCCCCCCCCCCAAACTACTAAAACACATCGAAAAGAAGGGAGAGAGACTACACTGCCTCTTGTGGTGCTTGCAGGAAACCGAACACCAGAGAAGGAAAAGAGAAAATAAAAAGATGTTGAGGAAAGAGAAAGAAGATGAGGTGGTTTGCAAAGACAAAGAGAGAAATGAAGACTGAACTTCAGAGTAAGAGATACAGAAGAGCTTGAAAGAGGATCTCTGGTTTGGCAAAGGCGTGGCTTCTGCCTCGACAGAATTGGATCTTGCTAGTACAGTACATTACAGTACAGTACAATGGCGTACAGTATATAAGGTAAATGATGAAATAGGAGTGAAGCTCCTGGGGCTGCTGAGCGATTGACTGAACATACTGCAACCTTAGTGGAAGCAGACTACAAAAACTACACAGTAGCTATTGTGAGAGTCCCAGACTTGTGCTTTGTGAGTAGTTGCACACTTACAAAGAAATTGCCCGCTATGCTACACTGCATATCAATACTGGGACTTCTATGAGAGCTACATTTGTTCTAATCTAACAAACTTGATGTAGTATTGCTTGAAGCGGAGGACAAATTAGCTTCGAACTAACAGCTAACCTTCTACTGGAGTCTAACATTGGTTCGGACTGGCCTCTGTGAGAAGTCTGGGGCAGTAATGGGGGTTTGTGGAGGAGTAGGAGTGGGGGTGACTTACACGGAGATGCGGGTGAGCTGAGTCCGCCGTCAGTGGGCGTGATGATTTTAGAGTCGGGCATGGGGAGGGGCACAGGGCGTGCCACCGGGGGTGGCGGGGGCAGCAGGAAGGAGCCCGGCATTTTGCTCTGGCCACCTCCATTAGGCTGCAGACGGACCATACAGACAGGGTGAGCATGACACACCCCGAGAATATACAGTGCACAGGGAGCCAGACACACACACAACATAAATCACACACACAGTCTCATGTAAAGGTAAGACACTGTCAATAGATAGATGCTAACAGTATTCTCAGGTACACAAACTAATCCACACACGGCTGCACACACACAGGGACAAGAGAGATCAACAAACTCACACATTGTTAAATAAAACAAACAAAAATATTAAGACAGTCTGGCCAAAAATACTGAAGTAAATAAGATGTGAAAAGGTGATGAACATCGTCAACACACAAGGGGAAAAAAGAAATGGAGCTGTCCGTAAGAAAAGTTATAGTGCTATGTAAGAATTAAAAAAAGAAGGGTGTATCAGCAAAGAAAAAAGGGTGTCTGTGCACTGTGTAGGGGTGTGTGCAATTTCAGGAATTATACTGTGTCTGTTGAAGTAATGAGAATAAGTAATAGGATATGAAAAGTGCTTGGTATGTGGTTTCAAAGTTGCTCAGAAGGCCATGTTTACAGTAGAGGTTTACAGTTATACCAGCACCCTGAACCTCATTACAATGTGTCCAAACTAGGGCTGTCAGTCGATTAAAATATTTAATCGCGATTAATCGCATGATGTCCATAGTTAATCGCAATTAATCGCACATTTTTTATCTGTTCTAAATGTACCTTAGAGGAATATTTTTCAAGTTTTGAATACTCTTATCAACATATGAGTGGACAAATATGCTTTATGCAAATGTTTGTTTATTATCATTGGAACAATGACAAATATTCTCCTGAATATTCTCAACACAACAACCTGGAACCTCTCTCTCTCTCTCTTACACTCTCTCCCAACCCTGTCTACTTCTCTGCACTGAGCCAGTTGCTCAAACAGACAAGCCTGTTTACAGTTGTCGGCAAAATGCCGCTCCTCTGTCTTCATCTTCAGTCAAAGCATGAGACGTTCCCACTGTGGGTCAAAATAATGCGCTGTGATGTGCAGTCGATACGTTGAATGCGATCCGAATGATCTAACGCAGCCCCTCGTCCTCCACAATGTTAAGCTGTAGCCACCCATTTAGCTATCGCTGTTAAAAGCTTGCTGCTCGTAGACGTGTCCAGGCGTCTCCCCGACAAACTTTCAAGCGTGGTCTGCCGCAAGCGAGCGGCAGGAGCGAGGCTGTCAGCATCAGCTGTGTGATTGGCTTGCTGTTTAAAACACCTTTTTTTGTATCCATATCTCTCGCTAGAATCCCCCACCATCCAACTAACAACAACAACAACAACAACAACAACAACAACAACAACGTCAAGCCTTTGGGCTCTGAAACTACAGGGCGGGCCGAGGACAAATACACATGCGTTAATCGCACGTTAAAATAATTAGTGGCGTTAAAAAAGAAAATGCGTTAACGCGTTATTAACGCGTTAACGCATTTTCTCTCACTTTCAGCAGGTGAATGTGGGCATGTCACTGTGGTTTTCATGTGGGTCACCTCTGGACTCATTTTTTACTGGTTTGCCCACAACATTTTTTTTTTTGTGAGAGTGAGTGACAGTTTTAACCCTATTGCAGCATTTAAAGAGTAAAGGAGGATCCCTACGGGTCAAAGAGGGCTTGTTAAATGGTTTAATGAGTATTGGAATACAGTCTTAAATGTCTGTTTCAGTTTCCTTCTACAGATACCTAACTATCCAAACAGTACTAATCTAGATGTGTCTACACATCCTCTCCCAGTCTCTCTTGAGTCTGCAGCTTCGGTTCCCTTCAGTAAATCCACTGCCAGTCTGGCACGGCCATACCTGCCCTATGAGCTTTTTCCAAATTTGCTTCCTTCCTAAAACTGAACATAACTGACAGTCAAGATCTTCTCCTACCTCACTTTTGCGGTAAGTGTTGCATGATACGTTGAACATATCATGACTCAAATGCGGTTTGGCTGCTTCCAACGTAGTTTTCCACAGCTGAGTTTTTTTCTTTTGTTTAATCACTTCTAGCTGCCTCCTCATGTTGACAGATTTGCCCGAAAACCATTTTCCCTTTTCCTGGTGATGTTGCTGCACATAATAAAGATTGATCTATTCCCCGGAGTAGGATCAAATGACCTTGTTGCACTAGCTCACAAATAAGATGATAAATGATGGGGGAAGTCATTCTGTATATATTTATGATGTGGAGGTTTTCTTGTTAGCTTTTCTTGTCTTCTTCAGTTAATATCACAGAAATGAACTGACTAAAAAATGAACTTTTGCACTGCAGACCATCCCACTATCCCCTCAACTCCCTTTGCTGAACATAGAGCACTTACCTGACCGCTGGGCTGTCCTGTGCCATCGGTGCACACGAACTGCACAAACTCCTTAAGAGGGTCCTGGTGGTGATGGTAGCGTATGGTGGGGTGGGTGAAGTACGGGCTGGACTGCTGGATGATAGAGGAGGAGGGGAAGTGCAGAGCAGAGGCTGAGGCACGGGGACTCCCTGAGGAGAAAAGGGGAAAGGAAACAGGAAAGGAGAGGAGGAAGAGGAACGTGAGCAGGAGATAGACAAGAGACCAGAAGTGGGAAATACAATGAGGCTCAGGTCATTCTATTGTTTCTCTACTAAAACACACAACAGATGTTAAGCATACATAACACTCAACACATTATGATATTACATGTACATGCACACCTATGACAGTATATAAGACATGCATATGTTTTCACTAAGCACAGGCACAGCTCGCATCAAAGACCAGGTTGCCGCTTCTGCCTATAATTGTCATAACACAGAAAATAGCAGTGACATTCTCTCGTGGTTAACTGACTGAAGCTGCTCTGGCTTACAAAAGATGGACATTATCCCTGGCTATTGGAAAACATCTGGTCCCATTCATTTTATAAATCAGCCCACTAGATTTCTCTGTACCTCCGGTAAGCCTGGCATTAGGACACACACACACAGTTACGCAGTCAAATACACGCTAAAGTGTGTTAAAGTATTTTCTGCCTTCTGCTTCCTCTTCATTTCTCTCTCAAACACACACACACACACACTAACCACTGTGGTATTACAGAACCACACACACACTGGGTTTTTCCACTTTTGTTTTATTGCTTGTCGGTGATGTGTAATCAATCAGCAGCATATCCTTGCTGTGCGGTTCTGCCCAGCAGTTTGAAACTTGGGAGAGAATCTCCCCTCCGCTCCCGACCGACCACAAAACGCCTCTCGGAGACATTAGTCAGCCAGCCAGCCAGCCAGCCAACCACACACACCACACACACACAACACACACACACACACACACACACACACACACACACACACACACACACACACACACACACACACACACACACCACACACACACACACACACACACACACACACACACACACACACACACACACACACACACACACACACACACAACACACACACACACGCGCACACACACACACACACACACACACACACACACACACACACGCACACACACACACACTAGCATTCGCTGCCTGTCTTGTCTGCCGAGATTCTATGGCTTTGGCAATTTGGCACACCAAACTAAAGAGGCAAGCTGCTAGGTGAGGGGAGCCTGGCAAACAAGCATCTGTGATTATGTCTGTCACCTACTATCTCTTGTGTATGCTGTACTCACAAAGTGTGCAAGTGTCTATTTGTCCAAACTTTCTAGGTTCTGGTGTATTGGTGTTCCCATCTTGTTATGTGTGCATGTAAAACTGTATCTTAGTTTTATTGTAGTCTGTCTGTCTGTATGCATGTGTTGTCTGTTGCAGCTTTCGTGTGTCTTTGTCCTTATATTGGTGTGAGTGTAATCACTGTTACAATGGCGGACTCTCCAGACTAGTATAATCAGACAACAGTCAATCTGGCAGCTCTCCACGTCAGTCCGGAGCCAAAAACAGGACATAAACCATCCAGTCCTTACCCCTGAATAGCCACACTCACTAGACCTATACAACACGAGCTAACAGCTCCAGTCCATGATCGCTAACTGCTTCTTCCCCCTCTCTGTCTACCCCCATTTCTCTTTTCATCGCTCTCCTTCCCTCCCTCCCATCATCCTCCAGTCTCTTTATAGAACCAAGGCCTCCGAGGGACATTCCATTTGGATGGCAGCCATTTTAGCACAGAGTCCTCAACAAGAGTGTACATTTACACATAAACACATGTGTATGTCTGTGTACGTGCACAAATGCACCCATACACAATTTCTAAAATCTGTCTCATTAGAGCCTCTCTATTACATGCAAACCTCTTAGCCAATAGTATGCACACGCGGTTTGGAGGTTGTGAGAAGTTAGTCAGGCAACAAAGAAACCTGAGCCAGTCCCTCACACCTCTTCGACTCACGCACTAAACAGAGGAGGATATTTTAAGAATTAATTTAAACGCACAATTTAATGTGGTGTTTTTAAATTTTCCAGAGGCGTAAGGACTGCTCTGTGCAGATAAACAACATGGCTTAATGGCGCGAGATCCTGCCTGCTCTGTTCTTTCTAAATATACTTTGGGGAGCTCTGCGGGTAAAATTCAATACATTTCAACATGGAGGGCAATGAGTCCAAATGACCTTTACATAGTAGGTCTGGTTTGGATGCGGACCAAACCATTCCTTTGAGAAATACATGGAGCCAGGGGGAGAGAGAAGCACATATTTATTCCTTTGAAAGTGAGACCAGCCTACTGGGTCTTGTTGGCAAACCCGACATCCAGGAGACTTGGGGAATTCTCAAAGATGGAGAAACCATGTCGCTTATCCTATAGGCTTGAAAAGCTCTTATGAGGACAACTTAGCGTTAGTGCCTCTCATGAAACAAAACCTCGGAAACATTGGATGATACTTAAAGAATTCCAACCACTACAGTCTACTGTAAATCTGTGAAACTGCGTGAGTTTAATCTCTGTTACTTCTTTCTACTCCTTTCAAATATGTAATTGCTCTGCACTCTGAACTAACACATCCTTTAAAAACAGAAAAATACAAATGCAGCTAAATGTAAAACATACACAAACACATACATACACACATATGCACACATATATATATTATATAGATATAAAAAAGATACAGTATATATAAAAAAAAACAATATTTGAATTCCATTTCAAATTGTGTCTTCAAAATGTTCCTTTGTCTTGCAGCTTTTATGACGATTAAAAGATATTTCACAAGTTTTTGATCTTGTCTACTGAATAAATGAGTACTTGCTTTTCTTGCAACATTAACTCTTACTTCGAACTATTTAGGGTCCGGATAGCTGAACTTGGTAAGTTAACACACCCAGTCAGATTCATTACATGGGAATAAACTGAGTTAAAGTGAACATAAACATTACAATGGATGCATGAAGCAGTAAGATTTGAGCCAAATCAGTCACAAAGGCATCAATGCAGCAATGGTACCATGCAATGACAATATTAAAACACAAAGGCATTAGAGATGATGGTTAAACATGGATGGATGGAGAGGCTGAAAGAGAGAGAGAAATTCACGCCAAGCCATGGTGATAGCAGTAACTTTGAAAAGGTGAAACGCTTCGGGCATATTGCTTCTCAGCAGTTGCAAATGTAGGGCTTTACGATTCTTTTTATACGTTTAGGAATTTCATATTCACGCACACGATTGTAGAATTCATTTTGTTTTGACTTGTAAATATTGCATTCTTGGTTCACGTTTGACACTCCCTTTCCTTCTCTCTCTGTTTCAGATTATAAAAGGGGAATTGGGTTGTTGGGTTCATGGCAGGGCTCTCACCTGGTCTCACTCCTGCCAGCACAGGCAGCGGGTGGTGTGTGAACGCCATGCGGGGGGACCTCGTCTGGGAAGTCAGGGCGTTGAAATCAAACTTCCCCGGCTTCTTAAGTGAACCAGGCGAGGACAGTCCTGGCGAAAAAAAAAATGGGATCAACAAAAAAAGTGGGGGAGGGGGGAAGGGAGGAAAAGAGAGAGGTGGTTTTAATCAACAAAATGTTGCTTCTTTAATTGGCTTGAGTAAAAAAAAAGATGGGGACTTGAACAATCATGGTTTCTGATTAGATTCTTTAATTTCTTCATTGGTTGATGGCAGTGCTTTGCTTCCTGTCCTTTTGGCTGTTGACCATTCACTTCAGTAAATGAGCCAATCAGAGGACTCTACGTCATTAATAGATGTACTGTAAGATTCCCAACTCCCAACTTTATAGTCCTAAAATAAGGGATAAGCAATATTTCTTATCCTAAAGTGGCATGCATATCTTTAAAGGAAAAGGGGGGAAAAAGAGAAAAAGAGAATCTGGTACTGGTCCAAAGCCCACTTGTCGCTATAGTAACCTTTACTGTGCCCCTGTATGTTTTCTGTCTCATCTCTTTCTCTCAGTTTCTCTCTCTCTGTCAGGTGCCAACTCCAGGCTTTCTCTGAGAATGAGCATGGCCACCGTACAGCCACAGTCAGCTAGTAGTGGTCTGGCTTCAGTGAAGCTCACAGGCTGGATGCACGAGAAGAAGGCTTCATTCAGAAATAGCACACACTGTACAGTATGGACACGGCAGCTGCTGAGTGTGAAAGACAAGCAGACGGACAGAGAGAGGAGACAGAGGGAGAGAGAGAGAGAGAGAGGCGAGAAGAACGTGGGAGACATGAAAATATGCGAGGGAGCAAGGGAGCGAGGGAGCAAAGCAGAACCTGTGAAAAATGCAGCAGCGTCTTGTTTTTCAATGCGTTGCTCTGACGACATGTATGAAATTGGAATGTCATAAGATGTTAAATATGGTTATTATCTCTCGCTCGCACACACTCACTCACACACTCAACATCTGAACACACACAGAAGCACAAGCACGTGTCCAATCACGAAAAACAAAGACCCTTACAACACAGCCACATTTAACTGATGAAACAACATGCACATTGATTTTCTGTTGAGTTTTCCTCTAATCCTCCTAACAAGTGAGTGATGTGATAATATTATTTTTTAAACTTTTTTTAGACTGTTGTTTTGTAGTCTATTTCTGTGGCCCCCTCCGCATCAAACAAGGCATTAAATATGATTCCTCCTCAGTTCTCCAGCTGGAGACGTGTGAAAGTCTATGGGAGTGTGGGGGCGTGTAAAACCTTCCCTCCCTGTGTGAAAGAGTTAAGTCTCAAGCAGGTGGGAGTGAATATGTGTGAACCATTTATGTCTTTAGCAGACATATATTTCTTCTCCCCCCCCACTGTAGCGGGAGTCTGGGGGCGTATTGTACTGTCAGACAGATTCCAAGCATGAAGACAACCCCGATCCCACTTCTGACACCAATAGTTAGCAGTGATTGCTATGACACTGTCACACTGGTGAGAGAAATAAGAGCAGTCTGTATAGAGACTAGAACAAGGAAAGGCACTGCAGGGGAGAGAGTTGGAAAATACATATTTGGAAGAAAGTTTAAAAAAACAGAGCCTTGTAGATTAAACAGTCATGGTTTCAGAAAGGTAGTGATTTACTTTTATCTTGGTAGTAAAAAATGAGTCTCAAGTATGGAAATCAGAGCCAGGAAGCACAGAGAAGATCAGATGAAGATTGACATCTGTATATATAGGACGCTGTGGCACCGTCACTATCACCAAGGGAATGTGAAAGACAGTATTTTCGGTGCTTCAGAGACTATGCAATGGTCTGATCTGGGTTTATGTGTGTGTTTTTTGTGTGTGGATGTGCCACAACTGCACTGTTTCCTCTCCTGGCAAGCCTCAGTATTTCACTGGCAACCAATCAAGCACTCCCATGATGACCCTTCTGTCTCTTTGCACTAACAGGCCTGCCACCAGATGCGCCTCTGAAGCACACACAGAAGCACACAGAGACACACACACACACACAGTTGAAAAAGACAGGAGATAGTGGTTTAAACAAGTGAAGGAAAGTGAGGGAATTCTCCTCTCTCCAGTGATTTAAAGCACATATGTACGTCCAGTCGTATCCCTCTATGGGCCTGTAACATTTAACTCAAAGCATAGAGAAAGCCCCCCACCACCACAAGTCTCTGGTGTCTCAGGAACATTTCCCAATCATTTGGAACTAATGTAAAATCCTGGTTGTTTCGTTTGTCTCCCCTAACCTCCCCCACCCCTCCTCGTGCCCCTGTGGAGCAGATGTCTCCAGCATCCTCACAGATCCCAAGGCTACACACACACGGAAACACCATCTGGGACCATGCTTCAGCTGTGCTAGTGTATGCATCTGTGTGGGCCGTGTGATATGTGTGCACAAATCTGTCAAGTGTATTTCTCAATGTAACCGTGATTGTGTGATATAAATGTATGGATGCGTCTTCATACGTCTGTGTGTGTTACTGGATGCGTTTATTCTGTTGGCCAAGTTGGGGTGGATGGTGCTGTTGACAGACAGTGATGCACACCTGTGTGTAAGTAGGTTTCCTGGGGTTTCTTTTGCCCCTTGTTTTGTTTTGTGTGTGTGTGTGTTTGTGCTTGCTTGTTTACATACTCCCCACCTGGACAGATATTCCCAGATGAGCTCTGCCTGTGGCAGGTGGTATCCTTTGGAAAATCGGATACACACCGTACCAAATCCACATTCTCTACTCGCTCCATTTGTGGCCTACCATAACTCCTTCTCTCCTGTTTCCCTTGGTTCCTCTTGTGTGGACCATGGTTTTCACTAGCTACTGTTAAAAAAATAACTATTTGCAAAATAAAAAATAAAAAAACTGCTGATAATTACAAAAGCTTTTGGCTTCCGTATTTTTCACTTGGATTTCGTAAATTAATTGGGTAGAGGGTCCAGATTTGCGTGCAATTCCTCACCTCTATTTGCCAAAGTCATTAGGAGGTGTACACGGCTGTGTGTGTTGCACTTTGTAGAGTAAAGGGGTGGTTCACATACACAGAGAGGAGGAGAGAGAGAGTGAGAGACAGGAAAAATATGTGAGGTGAGGCTCTGGTGCGCTAAGGCGTGCAGCAGCCTCTGTTGTGGCTCTGATGAGCAGCCTCTTAATTACATTTACAGCTAAGTGGAACGGGAGCAGGAGAGCAGCCGCTGAGGCTCGAGCAAGAGTAGACGGGGCAAACCTAACCAGGGCTCTTGGCTCCTGTAGTTCTCATCCTGATAACTCTTCTCTCTCATTAGCTATCACCGTTTGAGTACTCCAAAGTCTTCTTCTCTCCTCTCTTCCCTCTCTCACCTCCCACTTGCCTGCTTTCAGTTTCTCTCTCCTCCTTCTCTCCTCTGACATGTTTTCTCCCTCCCCAAGGTCCCTCCTGCTGTACACGTTTTCAATTAGACAGAAGGGAGACAGGGATGGAGGGTTGAAGGGAGAGCTAGTGAGCAGGAGGAAGGGTTTTACACCTCTGATCCACAGACGGTAAGCGTCTTAATGAGGGATTTGAAGCGAGGGAGGGATGGAGCGACATAGGGATGGAGGCAAGGCAGGCACCTGAACACCTGCAGGGGTGGGGAGCATGATAAGAATGTGTTTCAATGTGTGAACGTCTGCACATAAGGGAGTGTGTAAGCCCTGTTTGTGGGGGGGGCTCTGTGTATGTAGTACAGTATCTGATGTTAATGTGTGTGTGTGGGGGTCTGTAGGTGTTTGAGTGAGACACTGTGCATGTGAGGCAGAATGGGCACAGCATGTGAATGTGCCGGCTGGTGTTGTCAGTGTTATCCTGGTGACATCTGTCAATTAGATGCCGCTTGGAGGACTGACATGACATCAGAGAGATAAAGCCGGGGAGCTCAGGTGAGTTAAGTGTAACCTCATGTTTCACACAGAAAGTTAAGCCTGAACAGGATAATCCTCGACAATCCTACTAATATATGCACAGGGAATTTCATTTGGAAAAAATTCAATTTTGATTATTAGCAATGAAATACAGCTAAACCTTACTCAAATTATGAAAATAAACACATCACATAACTTAACTTTTAACACACACACACACACACACATAATTTTATATACATATGTACATAATGTGTTATGTTCATTGTATTGTATGTACATAATACACGCATACACAGAGGAATGACTGAGCTACATAAAGGCTGATAAATAGCAATTATATGAGTGTAATCAATGTTGTTCTAACCATGGTAAGGAAACTGCACGCCATCGTTTTCATGTTTTATCTTCCTCTCCTGCACACTCGCCAAATGGTGCTGCACTGAAAGTGGAAAAGGGTATTGTTAACAATGAAAGAGAGAGAGAGAGAGAGAGAGAGAGAGAGAGAGAGAGAGAGAGAGAGAGAGAGAGAGAGAGAGAGAGAGAGAGAGAGAGAGAGAGAGAGAGAGCGAGAGAGAGAGAGACAGAGAGATATAAGATGGAAAGGGGGAGAGATAAAAAACTGAGCATCAGGTAAACTGTATGTGGGAGTATGGCTTTAGGTTGAGGATGAGTACAAATAAGAAGCCTTGGGATTTGGGAGTGAGGAAGTGGACTTGAGAGGGTTTTTTCTCTGAGTTATTGGGCTGTTGGGAATATGATGTAAGAGAGGGTAATGTCCAAAGCTGAATCACAGAGGAAGCGTTTACTGCCAAAACAATAGCAACACCAGCATAACGCCTTACTACAGGCTGCTGCTCCATACTTGATGCATCTTGGATGTATATCATAACACCAAGCACAATTTATCCATGATGATGTCAATTTTCGAGTGTTATAGTGATTGTGTTGAAACAATTGTGACCAAAAAATTGCTAAAACAAATGTTAAGCCCATTTACTTAACAAAAAGGAGACTATTCAATCAGTGTAAATTGAAAATGCTGAAGGGGATGACTGTGTAACAATTGAATTGCGAATTTTTGGTTTTCTTGACAAGACCTGATAGTGATTGTGAAAGGGAGTGTGAAGAAAAGACAAAGCCAGATAAAGGCATCGCTTTGAACTATTGTGGTGGTGGGATGTGGGTCAGGCAGGAGTGATACAAAGTGTCATGAAGCTTGTTTCGTGGGTGACAGGTGAAGGGTGGTATAGGGCAGTACCTGCATCCATGTCGTTGGGCCACGCACTGGACTGGGAGGAGCTGGCAGCAGGCGAGCGTCCGGGGTAGAAAACATCATCTGTGGGGCTCTCCAGCTCACTGTCGTCTAATGACTTCCTCTTGTTGGAGCTGTGAAAGAGAGGGGGGAGGATAACATGATTTAAAAGATATATACATAAAGATGGTAGATGTATGGATCAAGGAGTAAATACCCTGCCGACCTGATCATTACAAAGTAATCATACAAAACAAACACTTTAACATGAAAAGAAGCTTGGCATCTTAGTGGAAACAACATAATATCCTGAAGTCTTGGAGCAGAATAGACAAAGCACAACAAATGTCAAACTAGGAATGAAGAAAGAAGGAAACAGAAACAATAGTTAGAAGGCAGAGACAGCCAGACAGTAAGACTCTCTCTTTGTGTGTGTGTTGTTCTGTGCGCGTGTCTCATTAAGTTGTGTCTTAGTAAGTGTGTATAACTACCTCCGTGGAAGGTTTGCGTACAACTCCACATCCGACCTAAAGTGACAGCAGATGACGGAGGTAAGAAGAGAGAAAGAGACAATTTAGGAAGGAAAACACATGAGGAAATAGTGGAAAGAGCCATCACATTCATACAAAGGAGAGCAGCTAAAAGGGAGACACACACACATATTGTACATAAATATGTAAAAGAGGTTCAGGACAGGACAGTCCTGGACAGATTCCAAGACTGGGAATGCACTGTAGTACTTTATGCCATTTATATAAAGAAACCTCAATGAAATGGTGTACTTTACTTGCCAGTAAAGTCATCCTTGCGATACAAAATGATATACTGTTGGCAGATATTACTGTGATTTCACACCATCCCCCAGTTTGCCCTTGGCTTCACAGCGAATCAGATATCAAGGTAACACTGCTACTGCCACATGGTGGCTTCACCCACAAAAAACCCTACTAATGGCGGACAGCTATTACAATTGACAATGGTATTTCATGAGACTGAAACATCTCCTAACACTCGTAGAATACTGTTGTCTGTGTGTAATCAGTCAGGACTGTGTACCTAGTGGAAGGAGGGGAGGTGAGGGAGCGTCGCCCTAAAGCCACCGGGTTGATGTTGTAGTAGCTGGGACTGCTGTCCAGGTCAGCCAGCGAGAAGTTAGGACCTGACGCTGTGGCAACAGGTGCTGACGGAGAAAAATAAAAGAACAAGAGGGGGGGAAAGGAGAATAAGTAAGAATGGGTGAATGAAAAAAATAGTACATTATGTCTCAGTAGTTCACACACTTAAAAGGCATATTGTATTGGGTTCCTTAAGTTTAAAAATATTATCAATATGGGTCTGTTTGGTTGCCGTTTCAAATTATACTGGGGATATTGTAATTGTTTTGCTGTCGCCTCTCTCTCTTTGCATCAGTTTTACTACTTACTCTGTGACACTCTGACCAGCTCTGCGACATTCCACACCCCTGAAGTGACGAAGCAGTCCTGGAAATTCAGGTGCCCTGAACAGAAAAGGTTGTGATCAGATCATCAAAAAGCATTAGGAGAAAAAAAACACTATATTACAAATTCACGGGATTGTGTTTCAAACAAAAAACCAAAATATTTGAAGAAAACCCTGAAAATCAGATCCCTTTGAGAGGGCGACCATCTGCAACTATGTTTGTGGATCAACATCTGTGCAAGTGTGTTTGCTAATTGGATCCATAATTGGAATATGTTAAGACTGATAAGCATGATGGAATCAATTCTAGTATGCTGATTTGACAGTGTTTGGCCATGGGTTTGTGTGTGTGTGTGTGTGTGTGTGTGTGTGTGTGTGTGTGTGTGTGTGTGTGTGTGTGTGTGTGTGTGTGTGTGTGCATGTGTGTGTGTGTGTGTGCCTACCATTGGGCGGTGGTTTGATGTCTGTGTCCCCTTGTTGGCTGGAGCTGTCTGATTGTCCGGATTCTGGACAGAAACACAGGGAGGGGAGAGCAAAGAAAGACAAAAGGTTAGGATCTGGTTTGTATGCTAAAAAAAAGAATCAAAAACATACTGGTAAGCGTACAATTATCCATGCTGCCAAGAGTGTGATATTTGAGATCTGAAAGGGAGTAAGAGGAACTTGCAGTATGTGACGATTATGGTATACATCTTGAGTGTGTGTGAATGTGTGAATTCACACTTTTTTGTGCGACAGTCTTGTATCTAAGAATGTTACCTTCTGTCTCCCTCTGTCCCTCCTCACTTGAGGTGCAATGATTTATAGTGTGCTGCTATGCCATTTAGTATCTCTCCACGCAATCATATTCCTTACCCTAATCCCATTTAATACCTTCTTGCTGGTAGGGATTTAGTCTGCGTAAACAGAGCACCTTGCACATACACACACACATGAACACACACCCACACAACTCTCTCGCTCAAGCTGTTTCTTTCTTTAATTTATGTTTCATACTTTAATACATGTTGCAATTCCTCCGTGGACACGCACACAAATACATAAACACACACAAAGTATTTGGAAAGGCCGACCATTCCAGTCTGAGTATGTTTTAAGTTGAGGCCAAACTTTTCCTCTTGGGATCAAATGACAGCAGAGCAACACAAATACAAGTACACATACGCATCTGCACCAACACACACCTGTTATGACTGGTTCACTTAAGCACCTACATGTGCAGACACAAACATGCCAAATCTTGGCAAAAAAAGAGCCCCAATTAGAATTGGAGGAGCTGCAGGCTGAAATAAGACAGTGCACGATAAGGTTTTGTAACATGAGAAAAGTTGGTCTAAAGAGAGCACATTCTTGTCCAGGCTGTGAGAAAGAAATGTCCTTTATATTTGTGATCACGTGTCTGAGTTGTTGGAAAAGACTGAACCCCATTTCCAAGACTGTTATGGTGTGGTATTGGCCATCCATTCAGGCCTAGCTGGGATGTAGCTAGCTAGCAAGCTAGCTAAAGGAGGTGTTTATCTGCAGGCTGTAGGTGATAACAGAGCACACACACTCCTGCCAGCAGCACTTGCCTTGCAGCCACACTAAGCCACAGATTACTGAGCAGAAACAATAACAGACCTGTCTCGCTGCCTACGAATCACTGCTTATCCACAGAGAGAGAGACAAGAGCGAGAATGAAAGAAAGACAGAAAGAAAGACCACATAAATGAAAGAGAGCTTCTTTTCCCCTCTCTTCACATGCAGAATCTCTCGCTCTTCACTGTCTCTCACTGGCTGGGTGTAATCCTGGCAGCCATCTTAGAGCTTGGCAGCCATCTTAGCATTGGCGGTAGCGCCACATTCCAGCTAACTGACGGCACTCACTCCAAACATACGAGGCTGCGCCCCCGACGCGCACGCACCCACACACTTTCAAACACACACACATACGTGGACAAACATTGAGGTACACACTCAAGAGTAAACATATATGATGGCCAAAAAAAGCTGTTGAAAAACACAACCTGACTTCACTGGACTTTTTGCCGTCGTGTAGTATTTCACCACAGGGCTTGACAATATTGTCAACACTCTATTTCTAACACCATACATGCATTGGCTAGATACACAGTCATCGTACTGTATGTACAGTATGCTTCATAGATAACTGATAGTCATACTGTATGCGTAAGTTGCAGGGTATGCTTTGCTGCCACAGACCCTTAACAAGACTTCAAGGGAACGTACTATCACAGATGGAGGTTCAAGGTACAAATACCACAAGTAAAGTCGCCAAAGAGACTTCATAAAGGCTGCTTGTATCATGTTTTATTACTCTATTAACATATCTACAATGGCTATGCTTCAAGACACTTTTAATATTCTGCACTTGTGAATGCATACTTGGGTCTGATTGCTTCTGTCTACTAACAAACCAATGCAGCGGACGATTATTTCATTTTAGTTTACTTTCAGTACTGTTACACAATCATTTTATGCAAGCCAATGGGATTAAGACGACATTGTGGCACTTGATACTCAGTTGTCTTTGTTTTGAATGTTCTGCAACATAAAGGGGACAGATCTTTGTTGACAGAACAAGTTCAGGCCTTCTTACATGAACAGATTGACACCATGGAGAAGCATGTAATTAACACCATGGAACCGCTTTTTACTGCTATCCTTACAGTACCATGATAGCTACCATACTACTTTGGAATCATATACTGTACTGTATGTCTTACTAAGTGACAGAGAACAATCGTTGTCCAATGTGGACATATCACGTTTTGGAAAATCCCAACACTTGGATATCCTGCCCTTCAAATTTCTTCTAGCGTATTGTTGGCCTGTCATGACCCCAACATGTTCTGCTTTTACAGAGGTGTGAAAAACCAAAGAATGAAAACTGAGGCTCCTGGTAGATAAGAGAGTGTCAGGCAGATATGTGCATTAGCAGTGACACTGATAGCTGTACTAAACGTCACCCTGAGGCCTCCACTGGTCAAACCACGTCAACTCTAAAAGCATGTAATACAGTAGGATTCAAGTTATTGGTTTACAGCACGACTCCTGTTTTTTTTTTTAAATCAGAGATACGTTTTCATCACTCTTGAAGATCTCAAGTCTCAAGACTGTAAAAGAAGATGACCTTACTAGATAATGGAGCTCCTTCCAGTTCTGCCTCCATTTCTCTGAACTAAGGCTCTTTAGCCAACTAACACTGTACTTACAACGTACTACTACATCATTTGTGAAAATCAGTACCGCTGTGGAGTCCAACAGAGCATCATGGAGCTGGTTGGGGAAGGCAGGAGGACAGAGAGAGAGGGAGGTAAGATGGAGGAGGTCTGGTCGCTGGTTATCACCGTTCTACCAGCTGCAGCCTACAACAGCAGCCTCAGCCCCCTTTCCCCCCCTCCCCAGTCTCCTAACCACACATCCAGCCCCTTATCTTCCCACCACAGCCCCCCAAAGCCCTCCCTTCAGCAACCCCAATCATATTCCTGCCGTCCCCGCTGGATGCCCCTCCACCTCCACCGCCGACTACCCCATCTCTAACCTCAAACCTTTCAGCCTACCCTGCAGCCCCATCACACTAGTGAATTAAAATACAACAAACAGATAAAAACACAATGTTTGACCTGATGATGTACATACATTCACAAGAAGCACATGTGCATACATCTGTGATTAACTCTTAATAACCAACTTAACAATTGCTGCAAAGAATCACCACTTCAACCATGAAAATGAAAAGCTTTGTTTCTTTGAGTCCTATTTGGCGTATATGTGGTTTACACTGGTTTTACCTTGTTTTACACAAAGCCACAGTAACACTTGACACTGGATTGCCAAAGATTGACTCATGCATTGTTCAGTATACGAGTCAATCTTAATTTAAGAGTTAGGGCAAAAATCTTGGCACAGCCATAAGCAGAAATTGTGTTTTTCAAAGCACCTAGGTAAAATATTATTCAAGTCTGATTTTGAGATTCAAACACAATTCACTAAATATACATTTTACCTAGCACTCAAAATCTGTGAAAAAAGTGCTAAACAATCTGCAAATGAGGGAGTGAATTCTGAGTTTTAAAGTAAATAAAAGACTTGCAAAGCTATGATTTTGCACAACTATATCTTGTTCTCTAATGTAGAGCCAAAGTAAATGAATGGCTGGAGGAGAGCGTAGGATCCAGTTACGCTGGAGTTGAAAAGATTGGGATCACTTTGGTAGGAGTTGGCAGACCAATCCTGCTGATAGATTAAAAAATGTAGCAAGGAACATGTTTGCTAACGCATTAGCCCTTTAGCACATGGTAAGTTGATACGTGAAGTCTTGCTGTGGTGAGTTTGAGTCTGCTTTACTAACTGTGGTAGTTCTTTGTGGCTGTAGCTTCATGACGGCTGCTGTCATTGGTTGATTACAGAATTTCCCTGCAGGCTCCAGGGCAAATCATCATGACCCTCACCATAATCAACGTAACCCGTCACCATGGCTTTGACATACTGTACAGTGCTGTACCCCCCACTGTGGTTGCTCTCTCCGACTCGTAATCTCTTTACATCTCTTTATCCGACACATATTTTCTGTGGCTTTCCTTTGCATCAGTTCAATCTGTGCTGCTTTCTCCTCATCAACATTTGTTGTGACACTTTCCACTTGTTTTCCTCAACAGACAGAACGTATCATTCACAAGCCCCACCACATCTTCTTTTACTCATTCTCTGCACTACTCTAATCGTTCCTTTGTGATTATTTGCTGGTCTCCAGGTTCCGAAACAGATGTTTTCCCTTGTCTATCAAACCCACTATCCATCCACTGGTTGTGGGTTAGTTTTTGGCCCTCTGACCTGTTAGACTGTGCTGTTGACCAACTGGTGACAGGGGTCAGACAGAGTTGCCAATCTGTCACTCCTCATGGCGAACAGACAGTCAGCAGAGCAAAGCAGTGACGTAAAGCTCAGCTGAAAAAAGAGCCCGGATTAAACACATTTAAACGCTCACTAAAAGCACCATGTTCCCTACAGTAACAAACGAAAATGCACACACTACATTTCACCCAGTGTTGAAATGTTTGAGCTGCTGATTACAAACATGGGATAAAACCAGAGTAAAAGTCAAGGTCAAAACTGAAAAGTGGCACACCACTGTTCGACAGATGCATAAACAGGTCTGGTAATTTGTGTGTCTGTGCAGTACAAGCATGCACACTCCTAACATAAACATACAAACCAACAAGTGAGCTGATGTAGCCACATGAAACCAGCGGGTGCCCATATGTGTGTGCATGTATGTGTGTAACTACATGTATATGCACAAGCTGTTAGTTCACAGAGATTTCCCTCCTTGTTGGAACAAATGTCAACTCGACTCTCCCCCTCTCCTCTCTTCTCCTCCCTAAAACACAGGATAACGCGGTACAGCCTCCCAATTGGGTTTCGCTTAAGAGGTTTATCGGTATGTTGCTAAACATTCTGACCTTTTTTTAATCCTTAATGCGCTTAAAATGTTCCAAACCCT